TATTTTACTGTCACAGTTCTGTGTCACCAAATGTTCCCTGTAGGTCACACCTGGATTCAAATTCAGTATGAACAATATGTGTCTGAAAAGTTAAATTCCTTGTGAGGATACTTTCTTAGACAGAATAAACGACATGTCCTGTTTGTGTTGCCTATGTGGGAAAAATCTATTTTAGCTTATATTAAATTGCACTAATCAATAGTTTTGCATTAACAATGGATATAATGACTATATGTAATGTAAATGGAGGTGCTTGTATGATTTACACTTCCACATACAGTTTTTGGGTCTTTTAGCACATTTTTTTGGTTTTACAACTTCTCTTTTTTGCTCTAATTTGTAGTCCAGGCTCAGTGATTTCATCAGTATTTAGCAGGTAAAGAGGTAGATATTTCCCACAGGACCAAACCGAGCTGCAAGTAGAGTCAGTATTGTGGACATAAATGCAACTCCAAATGATCACTAATGTTGCTCTTTGTCTGCTGGATCTGTAAATACGTAGCTGTTTACTAACCCATTAGCCATAAAAACCTTAATTGACAATGGGTCAGGGGTGTGTTTTCAGCTTGTTGTTCTGCCCCATTTAGGAAAAATAGGAGCAGCTTATATAACAAAGACAAGATGAATTGACAGAGCAACAAAAGTGCATTAAATCAGTATTTTCTTTCATCTAGTCTTGAATTAGCCTCTTTGAATCATAATGTACCTGTACTGTATGTAAATGGCTATGCAATACTGTACCGTGTCTAAATGTTACAGGTATAAACTGAGACGACTGAGTACTATAAAAGCACATGCAACAATAACCTGTGATTTCTAAAGGTGTGAATGGAGTGAGGTGTAACTCCATCTGCTGTGTCTGTACCTGGCCTGAGATCAATTCCTCAGTGGAGCCAAAGCCACACATGATAACACATCATTTTATGTTACAAGATACAAAAGAGAATCTCACTGCTGAAACAATGAGATGCTAGAATCAGAAACATCTAGAAACACGCTGCACAGACAAGGAAAGTGACTGCAGAAATATGCGAAGAGCTGACAAACACATTCTGATTTGTATTTAATCAAAACAGCTTGACAGAAAATGTTACTACATGTATTTGTCACAGTGTGCGTGATTTAGCTGACACAAACAGCGAACGTAAAAACACTAAAATCCAAAGGAGAAATGGATGTCTTCATTTAAATGAACTGATTTCACGTTGTGTTTCAGGAAGATTAATGGTTTTGAAGGACAGTCAAGATTAATCCATCATTTCCTTGTAGTCATCTGGATTTGGCTGCTGGCAGCCACTCCGCCCACAGGTAAGTACTGTAATATTTACATATAAGGAGAAACAAGACAGTGTGACAGAGATTTAACTATGGGGGCTTTTAATGTAAATGAGCACACTTAGGTCCCTAGACCACAGATTTTAGCTGTTCTTGATCGCAGTGTACCCATGGATCTACAAACAACTATGAAGCAAACTTTAAAATGTGTTGACTCTGCAGGCAAGTTCTTAATTGTCTTGTCTTCTGATTTCATAGCCATCTGATGTTAGTATACTCATGATAGACACTGACGATAATGAAATTAAAAAAGGGCAAAAAAACCTTTTAATGCAAGTGCAGCCTTTATGATTTTAAGTTCCTTCTTTTTTATCCTTCTTTTGCTTTTACAATAGGATTAACTATTAAAACTGTTGCAAGTTCAGCTTTAAATTTGCATTTCTTTGTCCCATTCCAGCACTTGGATATTTTTTGGGAGACACTAAGGCAGTATTAAATGGCTGTGAGGACCACTGGACCCTGCAGGACAGGGCGGCCGTGCCACTGCTCTCTCAGATGACTGTATGTTTCAGCATCCGTGTGGTGGTCCCCGGAGCTTGGGTGGCCTTCTCCTATAACTCAGGCTATGCACCAAGGCCTGAGCTCGGTCTGGAGGGAGATGACGAAGTGCTGTATGGGTGGCTACTAAGGGTCCGACATCGATTTCCTGCCCGGCTGTCCCCAGCATACTGGCATAGGGTGTGTCTCAGATGGGACGCACCAGGCAACTTGTTTAGCCTTGAGGTAATCTTACTAGTGCATTGTTATTATTATGAAAATATTCTGGAAGTATCAAAAGTAAAAGTGCATGATGCAGAGAATTCCACCTTTCAGTGTTTTAAATATATTATTATTACTGGGTTGTTGTTATTACTGCTGGATTAATGTGCAAGTAGCAGTTTGCTGATGTAGCTGTAGACCTTTACACAGAACTGTGTATCTTGCATGATAACAGATGCTGTGCTGCTGTAATAAATACTACAGTTTATTCTAAGCAAGACAGAATAATGCTAATTTTGAGAGTCCCATTGTTAGCAAACATAGACTTGCAAAGTTTTTACATATACTGTAATATTATGTACAAACTCATAAATGCTAGATTTAGACTGCAGTGCAGGTACTACAGTACACACGCCATTATCTGTCAGTTCAAAGTACTGCAATGACCAAAAGGTATTAAAGGTATTCCTATGTGAGTTTTTTTTTTTTTTTGTAGTTTTATACTCTAATTTCCATGATCATTATGATGACATTGTACTTACCAAAAATATTGCGGATATCTGGGAACATGGTGCTGAGCAGATGGGTTATGAACAGCTTCAGTTTAAAGTTTAGTCCTGTTATCTTATCCTATTTGGGATTAAAATTGAAAAAGAGGTGTAACTTTATTTATGAATTGATGGTTTTTTAATGTAGAATAGTTTGGCTAATAATTGTACTATTTGCCTTGGTTTTCTCTTTAAACTATTTTGGGTACACATGAATGCTCATGTTTCTCTTTCCCACACTTCAGCACCCATGTAGGTGAGACCTTATTATTGATGGTAGAAAACTATATAAATTAAAATCTCGTTTTAAAATGGGGTTAAGGAAATATCTGGACAGAGTGGACCAGGTCAAACTTTTGAAGTTTCATATAATCAACACTTTCTTTATCTGTCAAGTTAGCAACACAACAGATTGATTGATTGACTGATTGATTGACATGTGTAAAATGTTCCAGGTTGATGGAAGAACAGTGGCCAAGAAGGCAGTCATTGCTGGAGCCATCCCCCCCTCCGGCTCCATGCGGCTGGGCTGTCGCCCCAGAGACCGACCCCTGGGACCCAAGCTCGGAAAAGTAGAGCTGTACTTGTTCCGCATGTGGCCGGACGTGGGTGACCACGGGCTCTGTGAGGATGGCACTGTGATTGGCTGGAGCGCTCAGTACTGGGGCTTGACCAGTCCCAATGCTAGACAGAGAGACCCCAGTCTCATGTGTGGTGAGAGAGTTATGCAAAAACTCATTTTTATCCAGCTGACCTTAATTGTAGATATGTTCATTGTAACTATGTTCACGCTGGCATATTGTGCATGAATGACTTTACAGACTAATTATAATCTGCATCAGGTTGCAAAGTTAACTTTTCTATAAACTATTAATTTAAACAGTGATGCATTTCTATCTATTAGTACTATTAGTATTCTATCTATTATAACTTCTGTTGTGTCTTCATCTCTAACACTTGTTTACATGCTGTAGCTGTGCATGCACATAGAGCGTATGGATGTTGAGTGTCACATGTTTGTACTCTGTGTCTTGTAGACCGCAGACGGTTGAGACGAGAGGCTCGTGCTTTGATTTCAGGTGACTTACACAGTGAATTTATGTTTGTTCTTATCCAAGTATTGTAAATATAGATCATGTTAGAAAACAAACACACAAACCACACTTGAAATATATTTTTTTGTTTTTTGATGTTTATTTAAACAAGGTGTTTTTATGATATATATATCTGCCAAGTTGTGGCCAAAGTGATCAGGACAGTTAGGGGTTAGGAATCCTTTAACGTGACTTTATAATAAGGTTTTCAGTGGTGCAAAATAACTAAGTACATTAACGTAAGTATTGTCTTTAAATACAGTTTTGAGGTAACTGTACTTTAGTTGAGTATTTTCACTTTTTGCTACTTCATTACATTTTAGAGGCAAATGCACTTTTTACTCCACTACATTTATTTCATAACGTTACTTAGTAATTCATTTTCACAACCAGATTAATGCCAAAAATGCAGTTTAATTATAAAACCTCATTGACCTGTGGTGGAAAATTCACAAGCTACACAGCAGATCCATCCATCCATCCATCCATTTTCCTCCGCTTATCCGGGACCGGGTCGCGGGGGCAGCAGTCTAAGCAAAGATGCCCAGACTTCCCTCTCTCCAGACACTTCCTCCAGCTC